AGACACTCTTTCTTGGTTCTTTGCCATAACCTGCGACAATCTGCAACAGAACGACGAAGTTCCTTCAGAGTATCGCCCGAAAAAGACTGCTTGCTGCTCCCGTGAACGCCCCCCCCCCCCGCCGAAGCGACATCAGAAGAGCGCACCACGAGGAGTGCCGCGTCGAGCCGGACAAAGAGGCGACTCAGTCGCTGCTGATAACTTCGCGTCAAACTGTGACGGACTGGCTTGGTTATAGCCAACAAGGCTTGACGTAAACGTAGCTTCCAATCATCCCACCACTCCGCAAGCCTGCGGGCCGTGTCATGGCTCGCTGTCGAAATCAAATTTGCGTCCTCGAATGCACTCTGCGTAGTATCTAGTGCCGCAACAATTGCGCGGTTTGCGGCATCTTTCGCACATCCCAGAAAAGGATATACACATCGTGGCTTAGGCACGCGCACAATTCAGTGTGGCACCCCGATCCGAATAGTTATTTCATTGTGGTCCGCCGCTAGCTTGGGCACCGAGAGGACAACGTCGTGAATCCAGTCATCCTGTAGAGCACTGAAATACCACCTATCAAGCCCAGAGCTGGAGGAGCCACCCCCTGGAAGAGTGTAGATATAATTGTGGGCCGCAGCATGAAATGCTGAAACTTCACGATCCTCCTCCGCTCGCTCCATCTCATCTTCGAGGACATCGCTCATCTATGCCATAGCGAGAAGCCGACGCAGCGCCATAGAATCATGTCTGCCGTTAGGAGTAACGAAGGAACGATCCAGTCGTGGTACTAAGGTGCACTTAAAGTCCCCTCCCATCATCATCAAACCGCTATACCCCCGTATGTGGTGGATACATGCAATTCGAATAAGGCCTCCCATTTTACTCTTAACGTTCGGAGCATAGACATTGACGACGAGGACCGCTGCGCCTATGATCGTAACGCTAGCGGACGTCCAATGTGGTGTATAATGCTCCTCGTGCCAAGGCTACATCTCTGTAATCGACGAGTATGATTTGATAAGGATAGCTACCCTCCACGCGCCACGCCTGACTCAGTCCACATAGTGTGCCCTAGTTTCGCAACGAAGCCCCTCGTGTAGTTGTAAAGCCCGTCCGTAGTGGACGACTCCCCAGGAGCGACCCGCGTTTCCTGAAAATCTGTAATCGCCCCTCACTGTTCGCGTTGATGAAAAAGTCCGAACCTTCTGCACATCACCCTGGTTGCTTTGGAAACCCGGCTAAATTTTGCGAATGTAAACTGAGGCTATTTTTGCGTAGCCTCCGGGATGCCCTCAGCATCTGACGCCGTCGACGACGGAGTGGTCGGGGCGGATGCTCGATCCCGTCGCTCAAACGAGTTCGATCGGCAGAAATAGAAGAATACAAAAGCTGAGCCACTCGATCCGACGAGTCAGCCCCTGAACCAACCGCGGTGCCTTTAGTATCGAGGGGCCAGCATCTGATCGTCGCGCTTGATAAGGTCGAGGGCCGACTGCCAGTTGACAGGTTGGATAAGACTCCAAGGATTGCCGCACGCACTTCTTCGGATAGGTGATAGAGAACCGCCTTGGTCTGTGACATCACAACCTTGGTCTCGTCTTCCACAGGCGCAAGCGCTGGTAATAAATTACACAGGACGTTCAGAACGCCCCAGTGATCCAATTCGGATATAGGTTCGACGATAGTTGCACATTACAACTCCGGTTAAAGCGTCGCGAGCGCAGGATGGGGTCAGTTGTTTTCCAGCGAGTTGTACCCGTCTGACCATCTGCTACCGCGGCCCACCCCGTACATAGCTCTCGTAGTTTCTCATCAGCGTGGTTAGCGTGTTGTCAAATAACAGCAAGCTGAGACTCGCTATTACTGGAATGTCCAAAGGCTCGGAGAGTCTCACAGGTCATGGAGGCGAGATGTGGAATCGAGAAAGGCAGAGCATAGACGAGAGCTGCCAGTTCCAGCGCACAGGAAACAATGTATGATGCTTGGCCTTTTGGATCAACAGGAAGTGTAGCGGGAACCGCAGCCACCGCTTTCCGCTCGATCACCCACTGTCGAATCGCGGCTGTGTTTGCAGGTATTTGTTTCGTGCTCTCCGGCATCGCTGCAGCAGCTACCGCCGCTGACACGGTACCTGTAAGTTTGCGGACTCGGGTGGCGCGTAAGGTCTGGGCATGTGAGTCTTGAGCGCGCATGTGGTCCATAGAAGACTGTACCGTCACAGGTGGCAGGGTTTCTTCATGATCACCCTGTGGTAAAGTCTCCGTAGCACGATTGCTTAGGTCTCGCTCCGCCATAAATCCGGACGATACAGTTAACTCATCTGCTATAGCCTTAGCCAGATCCACTAGTATGGGAACACTGGCGGCGCAGGGTGGGGGCGTTACTGCACCTCTACCGAGATCATCGATACGCATTGTGTGGCCGAGAGTAGCAGAACTCGCCGCCATAGTCACGCCGAGACTATGTGTATTCACTAAGTCAGGATATAGAGTATACGTCGGTGACATGTCCGATGGTACCGGAACGTGCGATACATCCTCAGAGGGCAGCGCTCCAGAAGTTGGCTTGCTTCTCACGCTAACATGGCTTCTGCTGCGACGGACAAAAGGCGTCAGGAGGCGGCAAATTGTCAAGCGGCTTTGCTCCCTAATTTTTTCGTCTATCTCAGCCGGCCGCCCGAGTGGTGGTAAATCAGGTCGGAGGACGCCATCCTCTATCGCACGATGCTCCTGTGCTGTAATCTTCGCCAAGCGGCGTTTCAATGTCTTCTGCGTAATTATGGCTTTCGTGGTCTCATCAGTTGCTCGGGTGGCTGCCGCACCGGCAGCGCGGTATTCATATTCCAAAGTAGGCAGAGAGTCATCCTCGTAGTCAAATTCAGGCGCCTCATCGACTGTAGTAGCATCTGGGGCAAAATTTATTTCCAACGCATGAGGGTGAGCCTCAAAGTAGCATGCTTTTTCGAGTCGGCAATGCGCTGCTCCTCGGATGTCTTAGTGGACAACATATCAACCTGCCGTTGTGCATCATCCACCTTCTCTTAAGCAACTGCCAGCTCCGTAGCGACTAATGAGACGATAGGATCAGAATCCATACCACTTGAATCCGTGGTCGCGTCCTCCGCTGCAGTCTTGTTGTCACCTCCGAGTAGTTCGACAAGTTCGTGAACCGACTTTGTGCGACGCTGAGCCGCTTGTGATGAGCGAGTAGGCGTCTTTGCAATGGCAGTTGCGAGCGCCCGTCCAGCCGTATGCCCCTTCACCTTTTTCGGTACGTGTAAGTTGTGCTCTCCCTGAACTGGTTTCTTCGTAGTCTTCTCTGCGGAGTAATTCGCCACCTGAGAGGTAGGATGTCCGGCCCCTTGTACTGGCTGCGCCTTAGGGCGTCTAGACAGTCGAGCTGGAGGGACAGGCGGATGACTGATGGATGCTGCATCCGGGTGCGAGCCACGCTTTTTCTTGTTGATGTTGTGGTTAAATCATCCATCGTTCGAAAGAACGGCGGGACGTGAGCTACTGCCGCTTGCTGCTGGCTGACCACTGGGCGAAGAGGCAGAGGTGGCCGCCGTATGGCTGTCACGCAAGGTAGCCTGATAAGCCTTGGCTAAAAGTGAGGACTTGCGCGCTTCTTCCCTCAGCCGGGCCGTTGTTGCAGTTAGTATCGCCGCCAGGCCAATGACATGCTGGAAGCGCCCGTGCACATTGATGTTCTGAAAGTTCAACCCGCTGACCGGGTCGGCAGCGCGGTGCAAACAGGTGAACTCGCGGTTATGTTCGTAGAGAAATGTTCCTGTGCGGGCCACGCATTTTGCACCGAAATGGTACGACGAGTAACGTGAGACGCATGGAATCCGTTGAAAATGCTGGCGATAATGTAGAACATCGAGATATCGGTGGTCGCGATGTGGGTCACCAGCTTGAGCTGCTCGGGACATGTAACCCTGTCGAAAGTTGCCACAAAAAAATTAAAGTCATACGCCTCTTACTCGTTCGGGCCCGCAAGAGTCACAGATGTCACCGCATAGGACACACTCGACGATAAAACGGCCGGGACATGGCTAGCCGCTACTCCATTGACGAGATCTCGCACTTGGTAATTTAAAAGATTGCGTCCAACCGGCGTAGCTGAGGCCGAAGCAGCAGAAATTTCCCCCCGCTCCAAAGTAGCGGGGCATAAAAGTTGAATACGGGCGCCCCGAACCAAAATTGATTTGGCATGCCAACTCGCTGCTGCTTGATCCGGCAGGGCGAAGGTGAGGTGTATAGTTTCCGCGTCATAGCTAGTACGCTTAGCTTCCTTGATTAGTTCGCGACTCATAGGGTCTGGTGCCGTGTCCCTCTCACGGCGCTCACGGAGTTGTAAAAGGAGCGTCTTCTCAGCAATATGTTGTTGGGGTATGCGCACGAACGGCGGCACAACCGCAATGACTATTCCTTCTAAGTAGGCCTTAAAAAAATTGGGCATCGCAAACCGCGTTTCCCGAGGGTGTGTACACACCAGGAGGAAACCAGGCGGTTACTTCAAAGAGTTCGCAGCGTGTGCAAAATGGCGATACGGGATACAACTTCACGGCAAACATCAGTCTAACTCCTCATCCAGACTCATCGTATCGGCGGCAAAGCGTCTTCAAGCAGTAGTCGCCTACCCACGCAACCCCATCGACTACATGGCTTTTTCCACTGCCATCGCAACAACACGTGGACATTGTAGGCACAAGAGTAGTAACCTCTTGATCGTATCGGCAAAGGTCGTCGTCGCCCAGTGTCCGTGACGTTTGTCCCACACGCACACCTACCGGTCACTTCAGCAACCCTGCAAGGTAACGTAACCTACCTCGGCACGCGTAACCTACCTCATCTCGCGTAACCTACCTCATCTCGCGTAAACTACCTCACTACACGTAAACTACCTCGGCACGCGTGCAAACTACATCGCCTTCTCGCAAGAACTGGGTCTGCCGAGCACGTCCCGCGTGGCCGAGTCGACCGAACGTGCCCTACTGCTCTGACCGATCAATGGAGGGCAGCGACTATTCGCACTGCGACCTGACCGATCCGGACTTTGAAGGGCCGCTGACCAAGCGCAGCGTGTGGCTCAAGGAGTGGCGCAAGCGGTACTTCGTGCTGAAGGGCAACAAGCTCTACTTCTGCCGCGCCCAGGGCGAGCCGGCGCACGGCCTCATTGACTTGGCCGACTGTTTGACGGTCAAGTCGGCCGAAGAGAAGACGAACAAGCGCTTCTGCTTCGAGGTGGCGACACCTGATTCCACGTTTTACATGTACGCCGAAGACGAGAAGCACAAGGACGAGTGGATTGCCGCGATCGGTCGCGCGATCGTCAAGTTTTCGACCTCGTTCGTGGGCGAGCAGGACGACGACAACGACGTCAAGTAGGCCACTTGATGGGTTGATACCGGGACGAAGGGTCGGGGGAGGGACGACGACCTGTTGATCTCGTGCTGGTGGTGTCGAAGGACCTCGTGTGGAGCGGGTGTAGCACACACCATGTCGGGATTCCACAAGCGGCGCACGTCCTGCATTAGGACGAAAACACTATTTACAGCAAGCGTGCAAAAAAAGCAAAAATGCAAAATACATGCATGGTACAAATGACCGCTGCTGCTGCTTTCGGCGTTGTCAGGCTGTCCCGAGTTTGTCTGCGGCCAACGCGCTGTCTGTGTTATTTTTCAGACAGCACCTTGAAAAGACTTGGCACCACCTCCATGCGCCACGGACCGCCTTCCAGCACTTCGCCGTCGATGTTCATGCAGTCTTCTGGCTGGTCGGGCTCAATCTCCACGGCCTTGACCTTCAAGTACGACACCAGGTCGCTCTGGAGCTCCTTGCCCATCAGGTACAGACCACAGAGCTTCGCTGTGCGTACGACAGTACCCTTGCGAGTAACAATGAGGTCCATGCTGCCGTCCGACGGATGCGAGAAGGCGCCATCGGGCGAAATGTTGACCACGCCCACGACGACGTAGTTGTCGCGGTCCTCTTTCCACAGCAACTCGGGGTACCGCTTGCGACTCGCCGGGCTCATAATGCTGCCAGCGGTACCCGCCCACGACTTGCGTTGAGTACTGAAACGGTCCATGTCGTACACAGTGCCTTCCTCCACTTCAAACTGGTCCAAGGCACCAGCGTCCGGGTAGTCGTCGTAACGAATGAGCGGCGGGCGTGGCTCGGTCAACACGTACCGGACTCGACCAGTGTGCTTCTTGGGCAAAACCACTGTGCGCTTCACTTTCAAAAAAGCGTATCGGAGCGTCCCCATCCAGCGGTAGCGTTCCGACTCCGCTGCAATGTCGCCTGCCACGCCCCAGCCAAGACCGCAGTAGCTATAGTGCACCACGCTCGGGTTAGCAGCAGACACAGCTGTCACGACATCCAACGGGCGCATTTTGCGCTTCATGATGCAGTACAGCGCTGCATTCACTGTCGGAATGCCAGCTCCCGTGCCAAAAGCGTTCTGCGTCCCGGCTGAAATCAGCGAAATCGGCGTCGAGGCCACTATTTCACGCCATTCATGTTCTGGGCGAGTCAAGAGTCCGTTCATGAACTCGCACAGGGTGCCGTCGCCTCCAATAAACACAAGAGCCTCGAACCCATCTTCGTCCGAGTAGTTTCTCCCCATCTCAGCTGCATGACCCGAGTGCGTCGTCTCTTCGACCACGCAGTCAAACTTGGCCAAGTCCATAAACGGCTTCACCTTTTCCCTCCATATCTGTCGCGCCTGCTGCTTTCCCGAGTGCGGGTTCACCACAACCTTCAGCAGCCGTTTCTCGGCCAGCGGCGGTGCACGTGCTTGCCAGCGCACGAGTTCCTGAATAGCCGCAACCCAGCTATTCATCACCGAAACGTCCAGTCCGTGAAAGTCCACGTACCGCGGTGTGCGGAGCAACGCCTTCGCGCCCGTTCCGTGCCCCTTTTTGAAGTAATGCACACGGAACGTACGAGCGTTCTTCCTGGCAAGCACCTCTGCACCGACGACATCATCGGTTGAGAGCTCGCCCAGTGTCTTCGTCCCTCTTGTCCACGTGATGGTATCAGGGTCGAGTTTCAACGTGCACTTGCGCACCGAGCGTCCAACCCTCGCGCTCGTCGTGAGCTCCCTATCCAGCGGTGCTTCTCGTCTCGAAAAGGCCGTGACGCGTCGAATGCTCTCGCGCAAACTGCTCCCCACGACTTCGTGCGGGTTCTCAAACGTCACGTCGCCAATCGACGTCGAGCGCAAACTGAACGCGGTCTTGGCCAGTTCCCTCGCAGACTCCCGCGACAGCTGCTGCACGTACGTCTGACTGCGCTTGGCCGGTCCCGCTCGCCTGCCGTCTTTATCAGCGCTCCGCGTATGCGGCGACAGCGGCGGCAACTGCAACTGGCGCTGGACAAACTGCTGATAACTCCGGCCGTCGTCTGGTTTGGGCAGCTGCGAGAGCACGGGCAGCGAACTCGCACCCCGGTACAACCCACTGGTATCGCCTTCGTCCAGCCGTGCTTCGGGCGTCGTGGGCGTCGCGAGTTCCGCGCCGCGCGGGGACAACACGTTCGACGAGCGCGACGCGACGTCGTCGAAAGGCGCAAAGCAGTGGCCGCCCCGCGCACTGGGCGGCGTGCGGAGACCGTCTACGAACGACGTGCGGGCTCCAGCTGGCGTGGGGATCAAGGACGCACCTGCATCGGGTGTCGAGGCAGTGGCGCGCGCGGGGGTCGACGAGGTCATGGCGCGGACGACGCGCTGGTGCTCTGGTCGCGGGCGGCGGCGCTGCAAATTTGATGATGGCGTGCGCTCGCCGAGGCGGCTGATTGGTCAATAGGTGACACATGGGTACACTGAGAGCGCACCGGCTGGGGTCGTTTTTTTGCTCGGTCGGGGTCGGGGAGAACACGGGCAAGCTGACTCGATTTTATCGGGCTATATGGGTTCAGGAATATCCAAGTGCTTGAGGGCTCTCGGGCGTCGACCGGCCGATGAGGCTGGCAGGTAGAATACCGGTATCGCCTACCTACCTGCCAGCTGGTGCGTAAAGCACGGGCTTGTGCTTGTCGCGCGAGCGTATCGTGTGGGTGCCGTCTCTGTTGTACCGGTGTGTTGCGAGACTGTTACGACTGTACAAGGTGGTCCTTCTCGTGCACAAAGTGCCTGCGATAGAGGAAGCGTATGGGTTGATGGGCGTACGGAGAACGCTATAGCGTAAGAGGGTCGGAAGGCAGCAATGCATTCTTGACTATGGTTCGTCGCTCGCAGCTCGTTTACCGCCCAGTGCGTGCTATTGGCATCAAACTATTGCGAACGGTTCGTTTGCACATTGGAACACTGGTGCCGCGCACGTTGATACGAGACAATATTACATCGGACCCATGATGCTGAACGATATAACTCGCCGGTAAACGTCGGTAGCAGTTGACCGTCTTCTGCTGTTGGCTGATACCAACTATCACATCAGCCCACAAGACGTCTAATGAATGACAGACATGCGCAATGATAGCAAGAGATCACAACGATGGCATTGACATCTGCCACCCGTCAAAAAGCAGGGTAGAAACATACAGATCTAAATAGATATTGAAAAACGGTTTCACTTTAACATTTGACTAAGCTTGACTGTTACATTATTATAGACATTAAAGACGGCTCTCTTCACCATAGTATTACGCCGCTTGACTGTTTGATAGTCACAACATCCTCTACACAGCAATTTGCGTGTCGTTTATAGGCACCTGTCTACATTGTTTCCACTGCTATTTGTTGACACTTTCACCAGTGTAAGGGTAAAATTACATCTGCTAACGATTTGCGGTCCGACTCACAAACACGAGCCCATCATGCACATACACGGTGGATGAAAAAGCTTCACAACACGCATGATGGCTTCATCCATTTGCGTGACATTGGACGGAGCGTGGTCGACCATATGAATTTGATCGATGATGGATTGGGCCAGCAATGCCAGTATTTATTCGCTCCAAAAAACGAGCAACATTTCAATATCGTCATGTTTCTGCACACACATGACACCGACGCTGATGACGAAGAAGTCACGTCGCCGCATTAGGCAGTATCTCAACAAACAGAGTTGTGAACAGAAAGCGTTTTGATGATTAATGTTCTGATGCCGAGACAGCAGCAATCGGTTGATCGCCTCGTGCGGCTGATGCGTGTGCATCGATCTATAAGCTTGTAATCCAACAGCCCAAATCTAAAGTAGTCGAAGTAGACAACTTGACAAGATAGCTCGTTGATCTCGACAACTTCATCAAAAACCTGTTGTATCATGGACAGTAGTTGAAGGCGGAATTGGCATGTCCTACCTGGCTGTAAGTGCTATTGTGTATGTTCAATAACTCAAGTGTCTGGACCTGTACGCTTTGCGAGCGTAAGCGATTCAGATAAGGTGGCTCAGCCAAACGTCGGAACCGCCACGTGATGGGGATGTCCAGCTGAGCTCCTGAACATGAAGCGGGGTAAGCTTTGCTTGCACACTTCCCTTTGCACAAGTGATACCTAGTGTGTTGCATTTGCAAGGAATCCCATTGATGAACCTACACAGATATCTGTGTTCATCAAGGGGATTGCGCAAAGTCACGTCAAGTGCTCGGTTATCTGTATGAGCTGTAGACCTTGACCAAGCGATTTGCTGTGAAGGAAGATATGTCATTCTCTCTGAGTCAGGCTTATGTCAATTTAGCGTCGTATGGATCACCTCTGCAACAGAAATGCAGAAGATCAGATACCACGGACTCTCTTGTGTAAAAGCGATAGTGTAACGGGGCACGCTACTGTCACATGACTGACAATACCTTGTGTTAATTGAACACAAGGCAGCGCGCTCACGACGTCACGTACACATGACGAGGAAGCGCAACCAAAGCAAATAGAACCCGAAAGCTCTGTCTGAGGGAAAGTAGAACTGTATTCAATATAGTCATGTTTCTTGAAAAAATCATCTTTGTCGTCATCTAACTAAATTAAACTACAATCTCCCATGTGGGTTTCTTGTTCACCACCCATTGCGCGCATCCAGCAGCGATTGGTGGTTAGTTTGGTTTATGTACACGGTACATGAACCAAGAAGTGGAGCAACCACGAATATTACCATCGGGGGTAATATTCTGTCAGCATTACCTCTTGTCGAGTAATGTCAATTGAATATTATCTAAATAGATATAATATCCGAAAAATGATACATTCGTATCAATTTTTATGTAACGGGCTCACCCCGTTACAGATAGGATCGCTCGTCTTGCTACGATCGTTTGCAAATATCCAGAAATTGTCAGAAGACAGGTTGGCGCGCTAAAAATCTTACTGAATATGCGTCCTGTATCACAGTACGAAGCGGAAACGATGGACCGTCCGTCAAGAAGGGACAGGGACGTATGTGGGCCGCCCTACTGATCCGGCAGCGTTCGATAAGCTGCAGACCTCTCGACAAAGATTTTTCCACTAGCACGGTCACCTCGTACTGCTGCTCTGGAGATGATATAAACGTCATAACATCGTCAATGTAAGGGATAACGCACAAGTATCTTCGCGCCTTCGTCTATTGTAGAGCGTCGATAAACTTCGTACGACGCTAATCGATAATGGGTTGGTTTCGGAAGACACAAACACTTTTCTAAATGGATGCCGCTGCGCCTTGCAAGAGACACATCCGTTACACATGGTGACATGCAGCAGAACTTGATACAAGCAAGAACATGACAGCAAGAATGCCTTGCTTGAGATGAATGCCAAACTTTGACGTCATCTTAATCCTCTCACGCGAATCCTCTCACGCCTCACTAGTTACGAGCCATGGATCGGATGGTAGCATCAGTATGTAAAGATGCATGCCACTCTTCCATCAAATGTTCATGTGATGAACGTTGTGAAGCGCTCAGTGGTATGTTAATGTTATGAGAGTGAAAGCAATGGTCGGATTGTGGATTGTGGGGATACCGGCCGCAACGGAACACAGTGTGGCATACGTCCACTCTTCCGATCAATCTGGTGGTGGCTGTGCAGACGCATATTCAGCGTCAAAGACCCACCTCTCATACATCAGAGGCATGGATGATCGCATTGAGGCCGTCCATCTCAGCGATAAACGAAAAACGGATCGCCTGTAAGCTGCAACATGATGCTTTCTAAATTGTGAATGCGATACATAGAACATCTTGCTGGTATTGTACATCTACCCCTATCGCATATAGACTAAGCCCATGAACATGATATCGTGAGCGTCATAGTAACACACCCTTAGTTCAATGATCTTCAAACAACTGCGGGAGAAAGGGTCCAGACACGTTACAGGACATTCCGCGTCTTATTCAATGAAAACTCGAGCGTAGGTGCAAAATCGCTTTTTGCTTATACTAATGGCAGCATCAGCTGTTTGCACCGTTAAAGTGCACACAGGTGTTCCAGAACTCCACGGATGTGCACTATTTGGCACGAAGATAGCGTTAATTAGACTGGTTTTATGACAGCAAAATGGAAGTAAAGGTGATGTCCAAATTTAAATGGAAGTCACTTCGATATCTAAGTGTAATGCCGCGGAAGGAATACTAGCTACTTACCGAAACTTCAGTGCATTTTTCTGTTGCTATGGATCTTTTCCTGCGCCTGTCCGAATGCCGAGTGGACCTCGAAGCAACAACACTTTTCAAATGTTATGTCGATGCGCTTTGCATCATGGCTCCACAATTAATGACTTATACATGCGATACACCTTTCCTGTATCTTGCCCACAGATAATACATCCCAGATGTTACTTAGATCACCCTTCACCAAACGGGCTCTTCAGGACCACATAGGTCAATACACTAAGTCATACAGCCAAAACGTGGATGCAACTACTTGTCCATCACTTGTTTCATGGATCGTCTTGGATCGACTCATCGGCTCATAGGATGGATGTAAGCCAACACACAGGGTGTCGTCAAGTATTGTAAACTACAACCTTTTGAGACGATGTTATTTGTAATTGTACCGACCAAGTAACAGTGCTGATACATATCCGCTTCATTTACGCTCACATTGACATATGAAAATGTCCATGTTGTGTCACATGCGGACCCATTTGCTACTTATTACTTGCAACTAGTCCACCAATAGACGAGGCCGGTGGACGCTGGCAAAGAAAACTTATCTGAGGTTACAACTCATGCGAGGATGACTTAACTACGTTCATTTGTACCGGTTTGTCAACCCAGACCACTCTGTAGCTCCACAGCACATTGCAGTGTGACTGGGGCGCGATATGGTCGGTGGAAGCAAACTTTCGAGCATAAACGATAGTTGCGTATATCGTTCAGGTTTCGGCCACAACACTAAACTCAGCTTCGTTGTCAATGCATTCTCTCGCGACAAAATAGGGTGACACGAATCAATGCTTCTTGATCGCTCGAAGCATGCTTTGTTTTGCGACAATGCAGTGACCGCAACCATGTTGCGTGCAATTGGACATGATGATGGTATCGACTGTATTGTGCAGCACTCGGTATCAAAATATGCAAAGGCGCGTGACGGGTCATTTTTTTTCATTTTTGGGCGGACGACCGAGTTTCAGGCAGGCAGACCACTGAGTGCAGCCTGCTGTGAGTACTTTGCGCATTCGAATAGTAGGTCTATTGATAATCGCCGGGGTGTAACGGGGCAGCCCGTTACATGAAATTGTCACTTTAAGGAAAGTGACAATAAAGAATATAAAGATGGATATTCTTTAAACAATATCATCAAAGTGGTGATATTGAAGGGTCGACCAAAGGGTCTGTTCATTGGTTGATATCGTGATGATATCAACCCACCAATCGCCGCAAGACGCGCGCAATGAGTGGTGACGAGACGTCACCATACATGCAGTTATATTAGTATAATTGAATTAAGTCAAACGAAGAGACAGTAGTTTAAAGACTTAATTTTATTAATATAACAGTTCTACTTTTACCCTACCTACGCTTCCTCGCTCGCCACGTGTACGTCCGTCGGGGCACCCAAATCCCCTTGCGTTAAGTTACGCAAGGGTGTGCCCCGTTACACGGGGGGTCGACTAAGCATACGACAAAAGTTCACTACAAATCCAAACAATCAGCTAAGTGCTTCTGTCGACCTCCCCTTTTGCTGACACCTTTCAACGATAGAATCAGCGAACCAACTCCACTGTCAAGAAAAAAAGCGAAAGGGGTCACACATTGATAAATGAAGTACTTAGAAGTACTTGTATAACTGACAAGTCCAACACAAGCATTAGCAAGCCAACTCCGACAGTATCATCGCGGATCAACAGTATCAGTCCATACTACTAAATGCGCTGCCGGACCAATTGCTTAACATTTACCCCTAACCAGCTCTGATGCGAATGATCGTGGGGGGCGAGTGACGCGATGACGCAAGTGGTCCGGACGTCCATGATGTGCCATTCCAGATGAAGAGGATATGAACCAACGCGGCCGATGATCGCGAGCGGACATCTTTTTCGAGCTTTTCTCTAGCTGGATCGCCATGCTGCAAAACTGCCTACTAAGCGACTTCGCAGGTCTTCCACGTGCTTCTTTACCAGTACACGTTGCTGGTGTTGAAGGCCGTATATTCTTACGGCTGCATGGACCAATTCAGCATTGCTTCTTCCATTCCGCAAATCTTGCTCGCGATATCGTTAGTATCGGGAGATCACTTTCTGCATCTACGGTCAACGCGAAAAGCCATCGTGCGTAGATGACGAAGAGGTAGAGCAAAAGACTACTGCTAACATGCTCATTTGTTGCACAACTTGCTGCTGCTTTTCCGCAGAAACTCGAGAATGCTGACACGTTGTCAATATGCACGATAGTTAAGCACTATGACGTCGGTGAAAAGCTGATCAGGAGGCTATGGACTGTATCGCCTTTTTGCCGCGGAGACCACGCTGTTTACAATGCGCAACCCACGAGCAATGTAATCCATAAGTTCCATTCGATGAGACAGAGGCCCTTGGTAGACACACATGCAGTTTGCTGTGTGAAGAGGGGCTTGAGCAGCAGAGCTAGCAGCATATATCGCTTCAATAGGCCGCGGGTCAGAAACAATTGCCTTTTCATATTCCTATCCAGTTCATCACTCGTTTCCATAGCTAGTTGCTGAACGTTGAGTCGTGGAAACGAAACTTGCCTTGCCTTGCGCTTGAAGGATAGCTTCAGGTGACGAAAACGGATTCATACAAATGAAGGCTAAATGGCTGGCATGCTGTGTTGCCTCTCATGAGAAGTGACCCACAACTGACGAAAGGTTTGACTTTGCGGTCTGGATGTTGTTATTCAGCGTCGGATAGACGACTGTTTGCTCTTGGTGAGACTTTGTCCTTATTCTTCTTGGAAGTCCATCAGCTGCTACAGCGCTTGATCGAACAAGAAGGTATTGTCTTGGCGAATAGCAGTAGTCCGAAAGATATCGCTTCGAACAGCCAAGTTGCAAAGACAAGTCATTGTCCTTGTTGGGCAACGTGATTGTGACATGTTGCATCAGAGTCACAGGTTTCGACTCTCTTGTGCGAATGCTCAACAGTCAGGATGAGTGTAGTGTCCATGCATAAGCAACGGCGAGACGCCTCTTTGTGTCCTTGACGCAATCTAGGGTCGGTCGCGCTGGAGGTTTTGTAGTCTGCTAGGCAACGGCTTTTTGCGCTCTGTGTATGTGGCGTTCATACGCCACTGTGGTCAAGAGCGTATGCGCGAAAGACGAAGTTTATTGATTGTCGACACTCTAAGCCAAGAAACTGCTTTTCACTCTACTGACGCAAAGCGTTTGCATGTCAAGTGTGCACTACTTTGATGCTGTGGCCGCTCCAGGACCTACCGCTCATCACGAAAGTTACTTGGCCTTCATGACAGCGTTGATCCACGGCAGGGATGACGACACGCGTGCGTAGATACCGGGAACTCCTTGCTTGACACCGCAGCCTCCGCCGCCGCTGATCAAACCAATGAGAACGTCATTGCCCTTTCCCGAGGCGTCTGCCACAATAACTGGACCTCCAATGTCGCCCTCGCATGGCGATTGTCCCCGCTGGCCACCAGCGCACACATGGGACATGGTCATCGGCACCTTGAGGACATCGCGGCAGACTTGGTTGGGAAGGATTTGCTGATGCAGTTGTTTCAGCTTCTCGGACGCCATGGCGTCGGCAGAAGTGGAGGTGATGCCCCACCCCATCGCTGTTGCCCAACTGCCACTTCTAATGTCGGCACCACCCACTGCTGGAAGCCTCACGGGCTTCTTCGTGCTGGCCTTTGCCAGCGTCAGGATGGCAAAGTCGTTCGCGAGAGTGTTGGCGTCGAACTGGGGGTGCTTTGTGACCTTGATGACCTTGATCTCGTCGCCGTCTTCGCCGCCGTTGACGTAGTATGCACCAACGGATACAAAGTTTGCCCGCGTCGTGGAAGCGCACGATGCCGTCGTTAGCACCTTATTGCTAGCGATCAGGGCACCAGCACAGGAGCTGAAGTTTTCATCGGAAGTGGGGTCCACCGTCGTGCGGACGCCAGCCACGTACGACTTTGGCTGCGGAAGCACATTGCCGCCAATGATGCCAGTCACCGGTCCAACCAAGATTGACGCGGAGATGAGTGGGAAGAAGATCTTCATTGCGAGGAGCTCGTTGAGGAGAAGTTCGGAGAAAGATGAGTGCAGGAGCTGGTCAAAGCTGGAATGGCAGACCAAGCTGAGTGCAAAGTTGCAATGCCTTGCAACGCGACGAGCGCGTACACTTGGTCAAGGTTACTCAGGACGGCCATCAGGTGAACGACTTGCGTTCGCAGGCCTTCTGCTGTGTGGACCGCACAAACGATGCCGGTACAAGGTGAGCTCTCTGCACATGTGACTTGTACATGTGTAGTACGCGAGCCCACGTGTTCAATCGAGTCAGTCAAGCGTAAAGCGAGTCCGTTTCTATGCCTCATGTCGATGGTACGATGCGTCATCCGAAACACGTGCTGTGGTACGCAGACGACAGGACCAGGGAGAGTTGCAACGCGGGTGCGATCAATCACATGTTGTGGTCGAGAGAATGGCGTACTACGTTGCAGCTTCTCGTGCTTGTGTCTCACTCATTTGTGGTCTTCGACTTATGCACGTCTACCAACTTGACCCAGAGAGCTCAAAGCCGTCCATGCTCACGTTTGAGCGAGATGCGTCAGCTAGTGACAATGCACCCTGAGCATGTTACTTAGCGCAAAGACGTGTTTGCTCGGCCACGCGACCTTAGCACAGAACGCATTTCCAGAAGCGACCATCTGTCTTTGTTGCTTCCTTCGAAGCCAAGAACGGTCTGCTGTCGTATGAGCGACAAGAGGTGGAGCTTGGCGCACGGATTTGACTGACGGACGACGTGATGGTGTGCCCGTAAACACACGCGAGCGAGGGGTTGCAGTAGTCGACAAAAAAGTGGCTCTATGTGACAAGCTGGCCCGAGTCGGTGATGAGGGCGCAGTTGACAGTGAATGTCTCTAGAGACGTGCTTGAGCAAATTGACCGCTGTTCACTGCCGGTGCGAGTTGTCAACACGTGCTACCGGCTCAGCCCCACGTTAATTCCATGCTAACAGATGCTACAGCGCATCCGAGGAACGCTTCCTCCGATACGTTTTTCTTACCCACGACATGACGAGCAGACGTTACTGTAGGGTATCGCGCTTCTAACAACAACTGCAGCATCTGCTGACAGGGCGCGAAAGGTGCGGTCTGTGTTGACCGCCGGCCGGATGCATTCGAAATAGAGTAAATGATTCGGTATTCCGTATGCCTATCGTCGTACCGCTCTTGCGGTGCCACGACCACAGGGACAGTTTCGTACAGCAAGTCGCAGCTGTTTCCTTGCCTTGACGTGTTGTGATTGCCTGCCGAGGCGACTGCAAGCGGTGTATGCGTCGTAGCTAGTATTGTAAATGCCAAGATAGCGGGGCAAGCTTTGGAGCTCGATATGGGATCTGGGTCACCCAACCTAGAGAACGGACCCAAGTTTTGGATATCCACGTACCCACTTCAGGTGACGGGGGCTGCCAAGTAGAGGATAGAGGATAGGTCGTGATGTGTGCCAAGTACATTGATGCTGTGCTTGTTGCGTGATGAAGCAACCCGCTGGCGCTGCTGACGTGTTGAATAGACGGATGAGAAGAAGAGAGACGAGGCTCATAGAGACTTGCATGCGCAATAGCAACAACAGCACGCGACCGATGACATAAAAGCGGTTGGTGGAGGAGGAGAAAGTCAAGGATCTGCCTCTGCCGCAGAGCGGGGAGACCATGTACTTGTGCTTGTTCGGTTCTTCAAGCACTGCGGGTAAGAATCGTCCGGCGCGTAAGTGTCGGCTTCTTAGTTCTCCTCCGCTATTTGTTTGTAAGCAAGTCGTCAGCTCCTTCATGACTTCAACCCCGACAAGCCCACGACGTCTTGAGGAGGGCGTGTTTGCCTCTGACCTAGCTGATTGCCGCTGGATATTTACCCGTCTCATATCTGCAGTGTCGCGAAGAAAGACATAACGGCGGAATGTGAAGGTGCAAGCTGCTTGGAATAGCCGAAGACTATGTGTCTGCTGCTGCGTTTTCTCGACAAACATTTTGTAGGAACCGCTATCGTAGAAGAGGTACGTGCAGTGCGAGAGTATGAGGCATGACGCCCGTTCAGACAACGTTGTCTACTTCTTGGTATCTCGGCAAACTCGGGCTTGTATACAGACAGCAGCAGCCTTTTACGCGCGATGGCTACAGCAGATAAAGTCGCTGCTCGTAGATGTTGCTCAAGATGGCAGTGGTGCTTTAGCTTATGGTGTTGTTGCGAATGGCGCTGCTACCCGAGGCGCGAGCCGTCGCTGCCACAATCTGTTGAGCATTCCTTGCCTTATTTGCTGTGTTTGCACCTAATCACTCGGTGCCAGTCACGTGTGTGCGTGTGCGTAACTTACTGACTCCTGAACGGTCGTAACTTGTGACCGAACAAGACTGACACATGGTGTATGTACGACAAAAAACTGCTAGGCCGCACCTCGCAGGACGTGACCGATTCACGCGGCGGGACTAACAGAAGTAGAGATGCAGACAGGAATTAACGGCTGACATGTTTGGCTGTCACCTTGCGCACGTTAAGTACAATCTACGCCCTTTTTCGAGGTCGCAGAGATATGTCATTGGGCAAAGCGTTTTGCTTCATCAAATTACTTGTCGAATGCAGCCTAACAAGATCACTATCGGCATGATCATGGCCTCTGATGCATTTGATACAAAGTCTATCGTTGAGCTCGGAGCCTAGCATATCGTTGGAGCGCCGAAAGATCGAAGAACGCAACGTTCGTCATCTCTTCTAGCCTCTTGCACTTGCACTGACTGCGTTAGCTTACGTATGGACGAATGGACGATGCGGTACTGATAGGACCTTGACCAGCACAATAATACCCGATATCAGCGTATCAGTGCTCGCACCAAGTAACACTGCGTGAAATGACGCATGCGTCAGCTACTAATGCTTCCAACTGACGCGATCCTCGCAAGGCCATCAAGCTGACGATTACATGCTATAATCGTAACTATGAGTCGCATTGCGCGAGCGAGTCTTCTTTACTTGATAAACACTGGAGTAAGGATCTTTTCAATTGTGACCGGATGGCCCTTAGTGACACCTCTCTCTGTACTCGTCGCGCCATGCATGCACTCGTGTATTAGTAATGTCTCTCCGAGTGTTCGTCGCGCTATGCATGCACTCGTCATACAAGCAATCAATAGACTAATTACATGGTGTAAAGTATTTGCGGTGAGACCTGGAAGGCGAAATTTGAGCCAGGCAGGTGAGGTAAGATGCAGAATCATCACTACCTATATCAGAGACGACTGCAAGCATGCGATGTCACGGTCGTTGTGGATGCGGTGCCCATCTCAAACTTGGTATGTATCTTGCTGGTTGTAGGATATCGTAACAACATGGGGGAGGTCACAACTCATTTCGTTGAGGTGGTGAAAAAGACGGTTCTATTCGAAGTATTTGATCCGAAAGTGGACCGTAGCAAACAAAAGGAACGTGCGATCTGACTTTTTGTGGGAGCTACAGTCATGCAGCGTGCTGACGGTGTCTTTGGTTTCAACGACAACGCTCCGTCGCATATCACGTATGATCTGAAGCTTGCCAATATTGAGGTTAGGCTTCTTTCACGACAGAAGACGATCGAGGTCCAGCCGATGGATTCCGGCATCGTCTTGACATCTTGGCTCCACATCCACAGCTGGAGGTCGCAGAACGCGATCAATTGTGTCGAGCGTGGGATGGTCGACAACGTGTATAAAGTCGAACGTTCTTATGTCATGCGATGGTCGGTAGCTGTCTCGGACCGGGATTTCAGCCCCTGTGGGTGTCAACTGCTTTGACAGACGTGGCTGTTTGCTATGCCTCCTCTCTGTACAACTGCTACGGAGATGGCGAGTCACAAAGATGTCTCGAAGAAGGATAGAAAGGGTGGAGAACAAAACAGATCGAGAGCTAAGAGCGAAGCCCGAAGCGCCGTGTGTTTCGAAGATCATGTCAAATGTAAGCCTCGTCATCACATCGACGAAGATGAAGTTGGAGTGATTGTGCACAAACTCTCGACATGATACAGAAGGCAAACTTTGTCGAGGGAAAGCAGTAGATCCATTGATTTTCTGGCACATTTCCTAGGAAGGTTCATTCGACTCAAAGATTTATACAGCTTACGACCATTACGTTGACAGTCGCAACGCACACATCACTCGATCCACCTTTCTTGTCCCGCACTCAAGGAAGACTTCCTTTTCTCCCGTCAAAACATAACATCAATATCAATTGCTCTACTCAGGTATGCCATTATACTGCAACGAGCCGCATTCGAAAGCGCAATTTCATCGTTATGGGTATAGTGCCTATTCTCGCTGCAGTTTCCTGCCCTCCCTATAATTATTGGCGGGCACGTCACGAGACGAGTCAGCCACTGTGACAACTTAGTGGAAGTAACAGGTGAATGGACGACAACTTATCCGAAAGCACACCGTACTTAAGCCCAGTTGTCCTTAAGTACGCGCTTGAAGCCTGCGAAGCATTCTATCACGCTTTACGTCGGTGCCGTGTCCCAACATTCTCTAACCGGGGACAAAAATCGAGTAATTCGGAATCGACGAATAGCCGAACTATCCAACCGAATAACCTCTGGGCGATGATGTCTAAACAGTATTATGTCACGAATTCAATGGACGACAACTTATCCGAAAGCACACCGTACTTAAGCCCAGTTGTCCTTAAGTACGCGCTTGAAGCCTGCGAAGCATTCTATCACGCTTTACGTCAGTGCCGTATTCCCAACATTCTCTAATCCCAGTGCAGTAATCATCATCCCCCATTAGAACTATCCATGCGCACACTAACGGCTGCTCGTCGTCTCCATCTCCGCGTCCCGTGCCCCTATGTCTGCTCCGCTACCTATCGCAATCCCGTCACTGTCCGCAGTTACTCCAGCTCCCACAACAGAAACAGCAGCAGCCCCAACAACAAAAACAACAACAACAACCAAAGCCCCCGGCAGCTTGAAACAGGCTACGACTTCGCTACCGGAACGTGGCACCGCTGCACTTCGCGTCTCTCAACGCTTTCGACTTACCAAGACCAGAATATCTTTGTCAATTCTCTTAGTACCTTGGCCCAGTACTGGCTGTTTTTTCAGCTACAGCTGCCACAGAAAACAGAAGTGAATCTTTTGGAATTCGTAGAAGGAGCAACTGTTGCCTCGGAGGCGACGCTTCGAGCTATGAACTGTGATGCGTTTCCCAAGTTTCTAGCGGGGAACGAAACCTGCCCGTCTGAAGTAAACGAGCAGGTACAGCAGTATACAACTCCCGCATACTACAATCAAATGGCGCTGCAAGTCAAGCGAAACTACGTGCATCGGAACTTCTACATTGAGTGTGAAAAGATGAACCTTGAGCGAGCGCAGGTTGCGCGTGTGGTGTACAGGCGTCTGACCGAGACAGAGTATCTGGACTTGGTGAATTTCAGGCGATCGCGTTCGAAGCTGTCGCCGGAAGCATCGATCGAACATTTGAGCATCCATATAGACATTGCTACTGTCGAGGACTTGAAGGTCGTGCATCGTGAGCAGAAGCCTCGTCACGTGCAGCACCAAAATGTTTATCGGGTGGCATTTGAGTCGCGAGTGACAGAGCAGGATGATGTGGACTGGCGGATTGCGAATATGCACATCATTGAACAGCTGGTGCTACCGCGGTCTCCGACGTGTGGGTGAATGCCAAGGCAGTAGCAACGTTCTCGATCGTTCTGCTTTATCGCAGTTGGACGGAAGTGTATCAGCTCTGGATCTGGTCATTGCAGTAACGTTAGTAGATTCGGCTTTGAGTTGCACATACCGTATGTACCCCGATGTCAAAATAAACGTATTGGAAAAGCACTTCGCAGGCGTGAAAGCGTAGCAGGGTACGCACCGACTCGATAGTGATACCGTTTTTGTCATGATGACGATTATGTTTTCGATTGAGATGCCTCCCATACGCATACCTTCGATGAACGACACTTTCGGCTTACTCGATCTTGCCAACAACAGGGAACACAACATTGGGTGCGGTCTTTGACCTTCCAACCAGCCAGTAGTTTGTATGACATCGTCGCTTCACCCGTTACCTTAGACAGCACATGCAGTTCTTCGTGGTCCTTGCAATTTATACGTGCCGCGCTTCGCAGGAGTTGATATATAACAACGCCATACAAGTCGAAGATGGAAATGAGACATTTGGGGTCACTGCCATTATTGATGTGGTAGTCAGCTTGTCGGCTACTACACCACATGACGACTAAAATCTCATTACAGAGTGCCAACGCACACTGAATAGCGAGTACACGTCGAGGAATCACTGCTGGAGACGTGGCAGATGCCGGTGCTCCCGAGTGCCATCATTTGCGCGTTCTCGTCACTCGGAGCAACCACAGTTCTCGATTACACCATGCAGCTACCTTCTACTTACTTCTTTTCAGATGGCCAGTTGGTCATACCTTTCCAAGCTATGACGTTTCAGTGGCTCGTCAAGAAGTCGCACCGCTTTGTCCATCGATGTGAGTTATCGTCACCATCGTTTCGACGATGGCATAGAAATCGTAGACCAACGTGCTCCTGCTGAAGAGCGCACTTGCACCTTCGAGTAGTATCTCATGTATATGCTGCATTGTTGCTAGAGTAGACAACTCGTGTCCACGATAGCTCTCGGAGATGCTCGCTGAGTGCGTCGGTCTCTTGCCATCCATAGCGCAACTACAAAGGAATAACAGATGAAGAAGCAATGCATTGGAATCCTGGCCGGCGTACTTTGATGACGAAACTTGCAGTCATCCCGTTGTATACATGGAGGATTATTTTGTAGGTAAGAGCTGCACCATGCAGCCATCTCGTTTTCCCTACTACATCGCGGCCCACTGTTCTTTGCAGCCATAGCTACCAGAAGATGTACACTGTGACCTCTATTCGTGCTTCGCTTGCAGTCAAGAATGATGCAGAATGATGTCAAAACCGTTGGACACACTCTGTAGTGGAAGGAATCCCATGTGTTGCTGGAGCTCAGGTGCCTTAGCGATGATACCCCTTCCTGACGTCTAACACAGCTTCTGATGCTACATGTGTCCAGAATACGCACACGGCTAAAGTATCAGCCGCAGAGGACGACCACCCTTTGCAGCGAATGGGAGCCATACAAACACCTTGCAGCTAAGACGAGAGGGGCAAACGATTGAACATCATGTTGGAAGTGCAATCAATTGTACTGCCAACACCAAACTGAGCCATCGTAGTGGCAACTTTGACAGCAAAACTGTAACAAGGACAAGCCTCGTAAGTGATGTACACCTAAATGGCCTAACGGAAGTGTGAATGTCAACTATCAGCAAAACAACAAACCGAGCGCCAGGTCACTCACTTCACCAAATGATTTTCTCATTTTTGCATTATTTCGATACTAATCAGATAGCTCTCTTTCAACCAATCAAGTTTACCCCATGCTACGGCGCCGCTCAGTCGACAATTCGTCCCGCAAGAACCACCAGCAAATTGATAAATGAAGGGACTGCCACGTCGCGTCAAGAGTCTGCAGCTGGTCCACCGAACGATCTCTCACTTGTCCCTATCCCTCCCATCTTCCGCACGCGTACGCGTAAGCTAGCATTTTGCGTTGTAGATCTTCTCGCTATGTTGTTGTTTCGCTTGACTCAGTTGAGGCACTTTTGATGGGATATCTCCACCTGCTCTAACGTACTCCTGCTCTATTTCGTAGCTCTTTTCGTCCGACTCGTCCGACTCGAAGCGCTCGGTTCTGGATGGCTCTGACGGGTTAGTCCAATTCGCCACGCGCACGAAAGAACGGGCGGCTTTGCAAATGGACCGGTACCTTGTCCACAGCATTTTTCCGCCATCCAATTGGATGTTGCAAAACTACTTTCTCTTTACAAAGCTGCAGCTGCCAACGAACGTGGAAATCGACGCGGTCGAGTTCTTGAACGGTGCTCGCTTTGCGTGTGACTTGGCGATCAATACCATGTACTCGAACGAGTTTGTCAACTTTGCCAATGGAGTCGTCTCCGAGTCGGCTGCAGCAGAAAAGATGCAAGCTGGACTGTCGCAAACTTGCTACAAGGCGTTTTTGTTTGCGATGCAACAAACGAGTAAGAGTGGCAACAGGTTTTCACTCAAACAGCTGGACATCAACGGGGTGTACCTCTATGGCGTGAATTGGGAAAGGATGTCGCTGGCGGAGATGAAGCAAGAAGAAGCGCTGGAAGCGTTGACGCGATCACAGAGGGTCGAGTTGGACCAGCTGGAAGAAAAGAAGAAGGAGGGGGAGAGAGACGAGGACCCGAATGTGTCACACGAGACAATGCCGTCGGTGGGTAGTCAGACGGCGAAGGCTACTCTAGAGGACCACACCACGATGATTGAACGACTGCATCTGGACGTGCTGTTGGAAACCGTGGAGCATCTGGAAGTTGTTTCAGCTGATCTTGCGGACCAAGTACTGGAGAAGAAATCGTCAGCTGTCTGGCGTTTCGAGTCGCTCGTGACACAGCCGGACAATCTCGACTGGCGCATTGTCTCTGTCTTTTAGCTGAAACTGTCGGGATGAGGTCGCGATGATGCGAGTGTGCGTAATTCAATAAAGCTGAGCATGTGTGGTAAGCTAGTGACCACTTTTTGTTCCATTGCCTGATGAGCAGATGAGGCGTTCGATTGTTTGTATAACCGTGTGTGGCCAGTGTCAGCGAGACAAATGAAAGATGCACCAAATCGTCAAAAAAAGAAGAAAGTCGTTGTTGAACTAATAAATAGTAGCAAGTAATAAACAATACGAAGAATGCACCAGAGAGGGTATGAAAAAGGGGGGACAAATGCGATATTGTATAAAAAATACAATACAAACAACAAGAAGTGATTCAGTAACAATAAAAAAAGAATAGCGGTTTTATTATCTAAGTAATGGGATAAAAAAGGCACCAAGTAGATGAGAGAATATAAAAAGCAGCTCAAGGTTAAATATCTAAAAAAGCTAATTTAACAGAAAGATCCAAATTGCATCACAAGAAAAAAAGTATTGAGGGAATACAGAAATGCACCTCAACATCAAGGGTAATGCACCAAATATCAAAAGAAGCACCACTGATGTAATATGCGACCGAGTAGACACATACCTGAGATATTTTTACTCACAAACCGACATCTTCTTCATTCGCTCGCGCATTCCATTTGAATCAGATTTATTAGGATCGGTGTCATCGACGTTATTTTACAATAAGAAGAGGCACATTGACGCATCAACCACTACCTGATAGTGTTGTTTATCTTGCAATTTTAAGGGCCACACCACTCATGTATCTTTTATTTAGACCCTATGGTTCGACATTGTAATATGTGTAGCTGTCGCCTTTGCGGTATTGTTGAGTTCAGATAACAGAGATATCTCAGTTCCAAATTTCGGTAAGGAATGCTGTACGAGATGTTTATTAGACAGCTAAAGGTAGAACAAGAGCATGATAAACAACAACAACACCCGGCATATATGGAACAGAATTCAAATTCTTTCGGTGATATTACAGGTGGCGATGTGGATCTATGCGAACGCGCGTACCCTCAGGTTCGCGCGTCCGCGTTGATCCACGTTACCACGTTTACTATCACCAAAGAAGGAGAGATGCTGGTAGAGGTATATGTTCGTCACAAATTGAAGCTAATGCTGAAGGTGGATATGGTGCTGATCTGGATGTCTCTATCGATTAACTTTAAATCAGTTGCGACAAATGAGATCTGTTGCAAAGGACACTATGTTGGTTGGTTAGTTTGGTGAGGCATATTCGGGTACGCGAACGACCCACTATATACGGTATATTCCAACCATGGTTTTTGAGAGGTAGTGGCAGGTTTTTCAGCTACTGTGGGAATCATACTGCGACAAAGTACACTACGTACACAAGCGTCAATACCTCGGGCCGATCAGTCTACAACGAACATGAAGCACAATACACTGAATCTTTATTGTGAAGCACTCTTTACATAGTTGCTCGACTTGCTTTCACGGAAAAGATTGACGCTTGCTTCATAGATTTATGTATCATGTGGTAGACTTGCTGGCGTGTCGTCGACTCATGGTGTTACCAGAAGCGATCATTGGATACAAAAGACTGATATAATTATACCAGATCACTAAAAATGCTCTTATGTATACTTTCGAACGACACTGTCGTACATGCTATCAAAAGATAATGATATGCATCCATGTGATCATCACCTTTTGTATCTATGGATTTGGGTCGCTCTGTTTTCATTAGTGGTGTACTTTGATAATGTCTATATGCTTCATTACGTATTTTTACAGATTACGTTGTAACATTTCATTTTATGTATCCTACAAAACGCATTTCATTCTTCCTCTTGTGTCGCACGCATATGTTTGCGTAAATTTTTGGTCCATTTTACATTCCTCAATAATTAAATTGCATTGTAAGCTCGCAGTAAGTGCTCGACGGCTACCACTTTTTGCGTAATCAGGACTTACGACTTGTATTGCTACAATTCATCCATGTATGTTACTATTCTAGCTACAAATATAAACCTCGTGGGTTTGGTATACAACTTTCGATAACGCACAAGCGCGAGAAGCCATTATCGTGGGGCTCATAAAATTTCACGATTGACCTTCTTTTCATAAACCGTCTATTTTCGGAGAAGTAGATCGGTGTGAAGTCGCTCACCAGTCTCAACATACATTATACATGTCTGTGATATGACAGGGGTGTTGCTAGGACCTTGTGGCATTGACAGCTACACCCAATTTCATTCCATTTAATCTTTTCACTGCTATACACGGGATATTTTATTTAAGCAGAAAAATCGGAAAGAGCATGTCGATCAAATTGATGGACGGAAGAAGAGGTTAGATCCGTCACATTGCTCGATGCCAAGCGAATATCAAACGACTTATCGATCGCTAATTAGTGTCATACGGACAGTAGAGAAGGCTTCATGACACATAAATATGTACCTTGTCTTATGCTAATCGCATGTAGAGTGCCTTGTCCGTAAACAAGGGCAAGATTTGGCGATTGCATATGTGATATCTATTTGATCCTGAAACAGAGGTTCAGACTGGATCGACGCCGAAAACAAGACTTGTATCGATCAAACTGATTCTTCCCACCGACGACACTATCTCTTACCGACGAAACACTTCGAGCTCAAATTTTTCGGCACATGATACGGCCGATTGTGAGTTCATACTTCATGACAAAGTTACATTTATCATACATTATGCAATTTTTCTCAGTCAGTTGCAGCTGACGCAACTGATGACAGATGACGCGCTTGACGCCATCTGTGTTGTTTATATTACTGTACATCTCATCATAAACGGCTGACGTCATAGACAACAATTACGGCAAAAATTGGTCCGCAATCTTCATATTATAGACTGTATCATGTCTTTACCAATGCAAGCAAATAATAATTTTGGATCAGCACTCCAAATCACATCATATGTTGCTTGAGCAAATAAAACCCCCGAATTCCGCGTACTGACCAAGTACTGTGAAAGCACTCGTTCCTCTTGAAGAAAATTTGGTTTCATATAAATCCATGAAACTGGTCAATCAATGATCGTATTGATTACTTCTTCAACAATTTATACACCGTTTATATTAATGATGCACCCAGGAGGTGTTATTTTCTAGCCGTGAATCGACACTCCATCGTATTGACGTACGAAGTGCGCTACTTCATAATTATACAAAAGCTTATATAAATGAGGCATATATTTTATCACGTCTATTATCCATTAATGATCAGATATGAATGAAAAAGTTAAAAAAATTAATAAACCGGTGAGATTTCTTTGGTTTCCGAAGATACGATATACATTCGTTACATGCAGCAGGGCACACTCATCGCTAGATCAACAACAAGACATCGGCACGATCTTTTGCTGGGAGTGCTTGCTGCAATAAGCGGGATATTCTGTTCACGTATGCGAGTCTGGTATAATATATTCATCACTTACATGGAAGAAAACGATTATTTTGCGACAAAACATCTATGATCACGTCCTTCTTCGAAATAGCGTCGAAGCCTGTCTCATTGCAGCATTCAGTTTACTGATTCTATGCAATGTCTATCATCCTTCTGTGTCTTTGCACAAAACGATGGTCGGAGAGATTAATGGAAGTATACGCATTACATGGCCCCTCCTTGCTAAGCCAACGGCATAAAACTTTTCGATCAAAATTTGAGTAAGAGGAAGTTATCACTACTTTATGATACACTACTTTGAACCTGTTTTCACGTCAACCTCATGACGAGAACTTTTATTTGTCAACATCTTGCAGGTAAGGTTTCAGGAATACGTCCTTCAATTAGACCAAATATGCAGAGATAAAGCTCGACTGAAGCGACTTCCAACAGTGAGACCTGTATCTTTTATTTCGAATCTTGCCGGTAAGGATAACATCTGCAATCGATAACATACTGGTAACTGTATTTCTTGTCGAGAATTAATATCGATCTTAAGTCAGCGACGAACTTCTTTTGCAGCGATTGCAGTAATCTGCTTGACTTTTCACCATGCAGATGTAGCATAAATCGTTTAGGATCTATAAAAAATATACTAATTTATATATATAAAAGCTTGCCTATATAGATTCAATCAGATGACGAGGATAAACACCTAAGCATACCCCATTTTCCACCAAGACATTCAATGACCAACTCTATGTCTTTTTGGCAGCTTATTCCCTCAATATTTACATAGCCAATCACTTTTGAGACATTCTATGTGTGGTAGTTCAGACACACCGGGGCCCGACCCGATTCGATATACTGTCAATTAATATATGAATATGTTGATGATTCTGGGTATCAGGCTTTACTAAGCATATTCTGTACTTCTTGTGAGCAATTTCAATCGGGTTACCCGAATTATACAAGTGGTGAGCCTTTGTCTGTGCTTCTGCTCTGATGTGGGAATTTTGATTCTTAGTTATTTTGCTGTCTACTCTATCTCTTTTGTGCATTAATGCTAACGACTATTCCACAAGTGAGCTCATCCCACTCACTCGAAAGGAATGCACGCTTTTGTGAGCACTACAATACTTCCTGTTATATCAGATGACCATCTGATGAGCAAGATGCCAGCATCGCTTCGTATCTTTGTCTCCAGCTGACCCATTACTCATATTATCTGAGAAATGATAAGTCTAAGATGATATAAGACTTATCATATATCTCTAGTACGACGTATGTCATCATACTGTACATATTCTGAGTTGTAGCGAATTACCAATGCTTGTTTCTACACGGTTACGGATGCGCCTCTTGCGATACAAACTGTCATCCTCTTTACCCGGATAGTCTCGCAATAAACCAAATCAAACCTACTAGCCTCAACCAACTGACCTCGAAATAATTCCGTCGACGCCATAAAAACAACTAGAGCACAAAAAATGTTGGCTTTCACCTCGGTCTTTAAGTAGATAGGGATATTATAACGCACCGGGTGCTGCAACACACATTGATTGTGTGACAAAATGAACATTCGTCAAGATGACTGTTAACTTTTCCTCCGTC